GCCTGGTGTCCGGGGACGCTTGCGGTGTCGGGACACTCACGGTCTCCGCTCGGCCGTCGGGGGCTTGCTGTGGTGGACGTACCAGTCTGGCAAGGAGCAGGCAGCCGGGGAGCCTTTCCTGGTCCTGGGGGCCAAGTGCTTCAACAGATCTCAAAGCCAGAAAGACGCCGCTGTGAGCGCCCGCCCCCCGCCCCTGGTTCCCCCCCACCCCACCCCTGCCACACGCATCACCCGCAGGCGGCTTACAGTCAACAAGCGCACTGGGAGTGCTCCCCGGGGTCCCCTGGCTCCAGGGCGTCCCTGGTCCTCTCCTGCCTGTGCACGTGCTGAGATGCACCCGGGGGGGACAGCCGTCGTGCCCTCGCACTCCCCTCCCCGACCTGGTGCTGAGCCGGCGCCTGTGCGTGGCATCCACCCATCCCTAGCGGGGTGCTTGCCCCAGGCTGACATCTGCTACACCCCAAAGAGACACACAGCGCAGTCCTACTGCACAGCACAGGGCACTGCAGTCAATACCTTGTGATGACCTTTAATGGGAAAGAACATGAAAAGGAAAATATGCGTGTGTGTGGATGACTGAGACGTGACGCTGTGCACCAGAAACGGTCTTTCTCACAAACGTGGCACCGCCCGGAGTGCATCCATTACCCTGAACGTCCAACGGCCTTGGGCACAGCTCACAGATTTGGCAGTCATATTTTTACGGGGAAGACACGATGGCCAGAAGGACTGTGTCTCACACATACGCGCACACACACACACACACACACACGCACACACCCCGCTTACCGGGCCGGCCGCCCTGCTTGGCCAGCTTCACATACTCCGAGTCTGTCTCCTTGATCCAGTACCTCCGTGCCCCCGGCGTGTGCCCGCTGGGGGCCTCCCGCAGACTGCTGAGACCTGGGATCTGGGACACCGGCGGGGCGTCCACGGCCTTCTCGGACCGCTTCACAGGAAGGTGGTAGTACCAGTCTGGTGGGGGGAGGCCAGGGTCACAGTGTCACACATGGAGTCCAGGCTGGCTTGGACCACTGCCCAGAAGACAGCTACGCCAGGGAGGGAGTCTCAGCCTCCGCAGGACATGAGCATGGGACACCCGCCCAGGAGAAACGTCCCTCTCGTGAACACCTGTGCTGGGGCATCACCCTGCTGGTCGGGTCGTGTAATTCAGTCCCTAAAGGCCACCTGCAGGCAGGCAGGTGGCCACGGTCCCCGGCAGGGGAGGGCCACCTTCTGGGAGGCCTGCTGGCTTCTCTGCTCCAGGCTGCCCCTCTGCCCCGAGGCAGTGACAGCAGAGCCTTTCCCAGCGACGTGGCCAAGTCCCGTGTGGGCTCTTGCTCTCGCTCTCTTTCTCTCGGTCCCACTTGGATTTGGGACTGGACTGCATTTCTGGACCCGTCAGGGCATACACGGTCCTAAGAGGCCCCGAGTCACTCAGAACACCACAGGCAAGTCAGGAATGTGCGACCAAATGTTGGCCAAGATTGGATCAACTCAGGACATTAAAAACCCTGAGCTCTGAACTCCGTCTCAGAAGCCACAGCCTTACAGAGCACGTTTACCCACTTGGCAAGGGTGGGGGGCGGGGCTCATGTGCTGAAAAGCCTTATTTGAAGCCCCCATAGGCCCTGGTCCCAGCCGGGGGGCCAGCGTTCAGGCAGGCCCGCTCCTCAGACCCCAAGCCCTCCCCACAGGGAATGCCCTCCACTTTCCCTGTGCTTGAGGCCAAAGTGGGACAGCCTGGGAAGTCCGAGGACAGGGGACCGGCGCTGTGCGGGGCGGCTGAGCAGAGGTGGGGGGTGGCAGTGGGGAAGGACTGGCCCGGACAGCCTCGTGCCGGGGGAAACCATCTCCCACAGATTCCGGCGATGCGGGCGCTGAGAGTGGCTCCCACGGAAACAACTTGGGACCCCCAAAGCTGAAGCTTGGTGAGTGTAATAAAGAGGGTGCGATTTCTCGGGGACGAGTCCCCTGAAGGGACAGGTGGGAGAGGACAGACGTAAACCAAGGCCAGCCTCCATGCCCACCTTGATCTGAGCCCCCGGAGGGAGGGGCCACGGCTGCGGAGCTGAACTGGCCTTGGCAGAGCCCCAGGGCCCCCTCAGTGGCACCCAGCACGGAGCCCTGCAGGCTGCCCTGGGGGCGCCCCGAGAGTCCCCGGCTGGAGCAAGGAGGTGTGGGCAGAAGCCCGGGGACCTGAAGTCATCAGCATCCAGAGGGGAGGCCGGGGACACTCAGACACTCTGTCGGCGTTCCAGGCAACTCCTCGCACCAGACACTGATTGACCGTGTGTCCAGATACAAGAGCAGATACCACAGCCGACTGAACACTTTGGAAAGAAGATGCAGGAAAGCCGTGAACGGAGAAAGACGCCGTGAACGGAGAAAGACACCGCTATCCTGGCTTACGAGCGCTTCCTGGAACCGGCCGTCCAAAATGCACGGCGCTCGGGGTCTGAGGCCAGGCGGGGTGGGCTAGTTTCGGTGTCACTTTAGTCTGGCACGTGACCCAGAAGGCACTTTCCTGATGAACATTCAAATCAGCAGACTTTAGGTAAAGGAGAGAACTCCTCCCTGTGTGGGTGGGCCGCGCGCGCTCAGTCCGAGGCCCGAGGAGAAAAGACTGACCGCCCGAGGCCCGCTCCCCACTGCTCTCTCTGTGCATACGCAAAATACGTGTGTGTGTGTGTACACACGGCGGCACACATCTCCTTGGTGCTTTGCTCTGGAGACTCTGACTCACCCAGTCGGAGCACAGGAGGATCCCAAGAACAAGACGTAACCCATCCCCTAAAGCTGAAAGCTTGTCTGCACAGCTTCCACTTAGCGCTCACGCCGGGCTCCCTGCCTAACGATGAACACTCGTGGAAAGCCTTTTAAATGTCTAAATGCCGACAACAAGCTGAACAGCACAGTGAAACACTAGGGCTTTGAAAAGCAGGAAAAAGCCCGCTGGGAGACCTGTACAGAACTGCTCCCCGGGCTCAGGAGCGGGGTTTAAGAGCCGAGAGCAAGCGTTCAAGGTCGTCCTCTGATCACATGCAGCGCAGATATTTTCTCCCTCCCACGGAAGGCGGTCCACTCCTGCTTCATTTTCCCTCCCTGTGTTTTGACTACTAATTAATCCCCAGAGAGCAGGGCGCCTGCTATGCCTTCTCATTACTGGGCGCTCCGGGCAGGCACTGACCGCTAACCTGGTTGGCCTTTTATAACTGCGTGCAAAGATGCTCAGAGAGCCAGGGCAGGGGTCACTGTGAACCCGCTGTTACCACCCCCTCCCTTCTCCACTCCCCACCCCACACACACTCAAAAACCATTAGTACTTGGGGGGAGGGTAGAGCTCAGTGGTAGAGCACGTGCTTAGCTTGTGTGAGGTCCTGGGTTCAAACCCCAGTACCTCCATTAAAAAAATTTTTTTAATCATCTGTGCTTGTATGGCACCAGATCACTGACCATCATGCAGATTTCTTTACGGAGCAACCCATTTCCTCGTGCGCTAGGTCAGAGCACCCTTGTTGCCTCAGTAAGGAGACAGGCTGAGCGAGACCACAAGACACGCCCGCGGCTCTCTGGTCTAAGCTGCCAGGCTCTCCATCACAGCCCGCCGGACCCTGCCTTTGGGCTGCCGCAGGCTCGGACACCAGGGGCAGCGTCTGAAAACTCTCCTCGCCTATCTATAAACTGGGTTAACAGTACCCCGCCAGGTTGTTTTGAGGTGAAAGGAGTGTGTAAAGGTGCTTAGAACAGTGGCTGGCGCCTGCCTCTGTCTTTTGCAGTGTTCCTACAGGCGAGGCTGCTAACCGAGGCGCCGAGAAGTCAGACAAAGGCTGAGAGCCCGCAGGGGAGGAGGGGAACCCAGGTCTCCTGACCTCCCCCACTCCAGATCCCAGCACAGCCACAATGTCACCAATACAGTCACAGTCAGAGCTCTGGGCTAGAAGCACTCCTGGATGGTGAAGGCGGCCCACTTCTGGGCCGGTGTAAGTGGCTGCCGCGTGCCTGCCAACCTCCACCCTGCCTCGCCCTCCCAGGACCCTCTTCTCCACCCTCTTTCTCCAGACCTTCTCAAGAGGGGAGCAATAAAAACAAAGGCAAAATCACAGCACCCATAGGGGAGGGTATAGTTCAAGTGGTAGAGCGCATGCTTACAAGCATGAGGTCCTGGGTTCAATCCCCAGTCCCTCCTCTAAAAATAAATTAAGTCTAATTATCTCCCCCACCTCCACCAAAAAAAAAAATCACAGCGCCCAGGACTTCTTCCTTCCCTCCCCCCAGCTTCAACTCCTGCTGCTTGAACCCAAGGCTTGCATCCTGGGTCCAGCCACGGAAAGCAGGAGACCTTGCTTGGGGTCTCAGGTGGGAGCAAGAAATAGGTGATCAGTGAATACACGGGATGTAGCTGAAAACTGCACAAATTCCAGGAGAGACCCCTAAGAGTTACATACGGCTGCTGTTACAGGGAAAGTTTCAGGGGTGCCATTGCTCCAACAGCGAAGGCAGCAGTGAGCAGCCTGGTTTTGCGGAAAGCAGGGGAAAAGCACGCCTAGTTCCCCACCGCCCCCCCATGCCACCCCGTAAGCGCTGCCTCCACACGGGGCGCGGGAGCGGGCCGAGCTTGCTCTGGGGGCCCCCGCGGAGGTCTGA